GTCTCTTTCAGCCAATCAGTGAATGAACTAAAAACACGCGCTGCCAAAATTTGTTGTTGTAGTCATGTTTTCGTGTATATTATTACCTAGACAAATTAAAATGCAATTATTTTTTAAATGAAGTACATGAAATCCCGCCCATTAATAATCATTAAGTAAAAGGACTGATAACAGTCTGTCATGGTCTGCTGACCCACGCTGGTCTCTAGAGGGTTTTAAAATTTTAATTTTCCGACGAACGTTTATTAAAGTCACTTTTTTATCGGTCAGAGCTTACCTCGGGCGTACGTCCTTCAAGACCCAAAATTAATGTACAATTTACACTCCGAAGCGAGAAATGATAAATATCCCCCTCCCTTTATACGGGAGTCCTCCGCAGAAACCGTCTCGACTCTACTTCTAAACTTGCAAACTGAATTACTTGTTATTCTCTAAAATAAAAGAGCTTTTTGCGAAACTTTTGCAGAAAAATCGAGAATTTGCTCAATTTTTCTTGGCGGTCGCTCTTAAAAAGACTGTGGTTACCACCGCTCAGCTACTACAATTTGTAGCTCATTCATCTATAACCATCTATAACCTGCGATCCGGTTTATATTGCCGTTAAAAAATAAAAATCAAACAGACCCCCGGTTGTCGCATTAGGGAAACAAAAGACTGAGGAGAATTTAATATTTCATGACAACTTTAAACAGTGCTCTACAGAGAAATTATCATTTTTTTGCGCAGCATTTTGGCGGGAATATTCGTAGATTTGTAGCCACTACGTGCTTTGTTTTACCTCTTTCTACGCCATGTTGTCTCCTGGAAATTTCACGGTGAAGAAGAGGCGAATCGTTCGCTTTGAAGGCCTTACAGAATTTAAATGGAGTGATCTAGGGGAACAGGATGTGGTTGGACAAAGCTCGTTCGGAGCGGTTTTGTGACAAAGTGTGCTAAAGAGTAAGACCTGGACAGGAATTCAAGCAAGCCAGTTGTTGTAAAGAAATTGTTTGGTTCGTCTTTACAATTTATCGATGCATAATTCACTAAAGAAGCTCGTTTACTGCATGATCTCAATCACGGCAATATCAGTAGTACAATTTAAAGCTGTTTGTCTCGAGCCACTCGCAGTTTTAATGCTGGAGTATGTTTATTTTGACTAAGCGTTTTCGGTAGCCTGCGTAGCAGGCGCTTTTGGGAAAATAGTGGGCACAAGAAAAACGGGCGCGCGAGAAGAAGACACGAGTGCGTGCGTGTCTCCTCGCGCGCGCCCGTTCTCTTTCGCCCGCTATTTCCAAGCGCCTGCTACGCAGGCTACGTTTTCGGAGGAAAGGAAAAGTCAGTTCATTGAAAGACTTTGTCAGTTGCCTTGACGCAGGGGATTGTAATGGGTGGACACAAATTTTATGAACAGGATCGCGTCGGATATTGGCAGTGGATTACTGTACTTGCATGAAAGAGGAATCGCGCAGAGAGATTTGAAAATAGCGAACGTCCTCGTCAGCAATCATCATTAAAGCGAGGAAAGAAATCGCGATAAAATTGCCTACGCATGGAGCCATCAACCAGTGATCTGCAAGCTCACTGACTTTGGAGAAAGTAGGTCAAAAGTTGTGCAATCACGATCTGTTTGCCGATCAAGAACTGTAAACATCGACAGGGGTCAATACAACGACAACAACAACAACAACAACAACAAGTTTATTCAGTATTACCATTTTGTATAGGTGTTACCGATTAAAATAATACCATACATGACACCGGAAATTCTTCTCGGAAGCGAGATCTCACCTGCAGGAGCCACTGTTGAGGATCTGTTGGTCGTTGACATGTGGGCCTACGGAATGCTTCTATATAATTTATTAAACCCTTGTCTTCATCATCCGTACGAGGAAGTCCTGAAGCAAGATCAAGGAAACTGGCGACACCAAGGACAAGATTATCCGTTTCCTTCGTGATGGCAGAAAGTTAAGCCCGTCTGAAAAGTATGCTGAGAGATGCCAACTAGACTGGCGCAACGTTTGGAACTTGTACGAAGCCTGCGCACCTTTCCAGCCTCGTGACAGACCAGACGCTAGAAACCCCCTTCAGTTGCCTACCTCCTGGGAAAGGTTCAACTAGACTAGATAGGCTGTTCAAAACAAAGGGAATACAAGTCAATGACAAAGCAAATTGTTTGTATGCTTAGTAGTGAATCCTTTTTCCGTTGTTTTCCTAGATCCTGAATTCTTGTATCTTTGTTTGGCCTTCTATAAAAGTATTGTTTTATTGAAGAGCTCAGGCTGAATGTGAATGATTTTGTATCCATGACTATTTTGGGTCCTGTTTGTTTGAATTTATCAGCTAGTGAATCATTACACTAAAAGGAATTAACAGAGGTAAGGCGGATAAAACGAGTATTTTGGGTCCTGTTTGTTTGAATTTATTAGCAAGTGAATTACGCAAAAAGGAATAAACACAGATAAGGCGGATAAAACGAGTATGCATTATTGTTATGTACTTCACTTTTCCCACTGTTTGTTACCGCTTTTTGTTTTCGTTTCTTTTCAATCTTGAAAGCTCTTTTGCAAAAAAATCGATAGCAAGGCTTACTGAACAGATTGAAGAAGCATTTTATTTTTGAATAACATGTTCCTTTTCATATCCTCCTAATCCTTTAGTGCAAGTGCATCCCATTCATCCGTGCTGTGAAGCAGCAAACAGCGGGACTCAAGTTCGGCCCGATGAGGGTAAAATTGTGAAATATGTCAGGCAGCGATTTGTTTCCAGTTATCCTGGTCATTTTCACATTTAACGAGGGCCAAAGACTGGAGACATCAGTTCAAAAATTCTCGCTATTTAAAAAGATTCCCCGTTCGCCATCCCTATTCGCCGATTCTCCGTTCCCTGTTTTAAAAATAGCCCTCTAAGTGACCGACCATTGAACTTTTGAGAGAGGTTTCGGTGATTTCAGAAAAAAATATAGTGCAGACTGTTTTCGAGGGAAAAAATATCCTGCACTCAAAAAAATATATTTATCATGGCGTATAATACTGAAAGAAATATCTTACACCATTGAATGTCAGGGAAAAAATTATATCTCCAGAGATTTGGGAAAAAAAAATCTTACCCAAACCAGATCACCCATTCCACCCCCCCCACTTTTCTCAATAGTCAATGGTCGCCCCTAAAGATAAAATAGAGGGTCTGTGAACAGGCTACCACTGCCCAGGGATGTATGAGTTTGAATATGGGGTGTAGCGCCGAGCGGAAGTATTTTTTGTGCTCTCGAAAGTTCATTGTAGTTGAGTTGTGATAGCAAATACAGTTTTTTATCCAGCCCAGAGTTTACTGAAAATAGCAGTAAACTTTATTTCAGACTCGAATTGAAGAGTAGAAAGCCTGCCCTGTTTCCTTTGGGATTCTCCAAGGAACATTTCTGGGTCCTCTGTTAGTGTTGTTAAGACGTAGGTAACTACTTACCTTATTGTCTGCATACTAACGTAAAACTTTTGCGAATGATGCAGTATTGCAGTCATGGTGTTACATATTGAGTGCTAATATTGGAAATCCCGACGAATAACAAGAAGATCTGCAGAATTAAGAACAGTAGCAACATCGACGGCGAATTGGTTTTTAATCCCTTAAAATAATCTACCAAAACAGAAGTATACATTTTGTGGAACTGAAATCGAACAAGTTGAATCTACGCACTAGTATTTAGGGATTATCGTAAATTAATAGCATTGCTAAGCTAAAATGGTTCGTTCAAGCATATCTCATCACTCTCAAGTAACGTTAATTAACTTTCTTCTCCAAAGCCACATTTTGACCCTTCTTTTGAGCAACTTGCAATTTGACCTTCTGCATTTTCATTCTTGTAACATAGTATACTTCATATATCGTACATTTGCATTAATGTCGGATTACATTACAATAATTAAACAAAAAAAAAATAAGAACGTTGACTGAAAAACACTGTTTCAACGTTTTAGAGAGCATAGACTTTCCAGAAATCTAGATGGATTTGGGTTATTACGACAAACGATATCGCCACCTATATTGTTCGAATATGGCTCAATGCACCAATGATAGTTTATGGCGACGAACGATATCGTCACATATATGGTTTGAATATTATTAAATGTATACGTACTAATGATAGTTTTCGCCTGTTAAAACTCGACATCGCTACATCAGCTCAGCGAGTGAATGCACACACGTTACTTGCATTCATTACACTCTCTAGGAATAACGTTTAGTTGCTATTTGAATTTAATAATTGCTCTTGACTGAATAAATGCAAACAAACAATGATAAAAGGCAAACGTGAAACTTAGGAAAGATTGTATATATGACAAAATATTGCAGCTATATACTTGAAAATGTTAATAAATGTGAAAAGCGGGTAAAACTTCAAGGCAAAAAGTTTAATTAAGCAAGCTTAAATAAATAAGAGAAAATAAGGAAAACACGAATTAATAAATAGAAGCTAAAAACGAGGATAAAATGCAAATGAACATAAGTTTTCAAAAAGTTCTTTAAATATCTAACTTACTATCTGATTTTTCACATGATAATTGCTACCCAACGTATTTTCACTCCAAAACTATACAAAGAAAGTATCTTAATAAGATACATATTTAGACAATGCAATCAATTTTGCGAGTTCTTAGCGAACATAGACTTTCCAGAAATCACCAGATGTTGGATTTGGGATTTTATCATCGCAAAAAAAATAAGGTGGGTTCATGTACCAATGATATTCGCTAACTATGAAAGCAGAATATATATACAGCCTGTCTTGATTTTGACCATGACCCCATTTGCCAACTGTGTACACGCCATTTTCCGATCCCCAATTTTGGCAAACTCTTGCCAGGCTTGAGTTGTCATTTTCCATTCTGACATATGAGCCACACGAGGCGGGCTGGACATCCGTCTGACCGCTGAAGTACCGGACTACAGCTTCACCGGTGGTGTTAGCAACAGTGGTCACGTGGAACGTACGTCCATTGTTTTTACTGCAGTGGAATCTCAGTTGGGTGAAAGACAAGTTTGTTCTCAGCTCATTCATGGCGGTTTTTGTGAGAACCATCTGATCGCTGGTTATTCCACGGTATGAAGTCTTGACTGGAAGCTGAGAGGGTGGAGTTGAACCAATCACAACGTTGGAAACGAGGAGCCATCCTCCTGAAATGGAAAGTTGTTTTTAATAAGGAAAAACAACCGTTTTAAAGGTACAGGTATAACTTAGAGAAAAGCTGACCCGGCAGCAAACAATGTCTGTTTTTCTTATGCAGATCATCCTTATCCAGTAATTGATAATTCTAATTGTCTTGATCTGTTTTAGGCTTTCCAAGTTTTAACTAACATTCTGTTGAAGGGAAGTTATGTGAGTTCATGTGAAGAACAGTTTTTTAAGAGCAGATCTCACAACTCTCATGTCGACCACAATAAACTTTCAACGGGTTTCCACTCTTCTCAGGGTCGCTCCAGTAACTCCGGTCCCCTTTGGATACACCATTGAAACTGCCTCTGACGAATTTACGTGGCGGTCTGCAAAATTAGCAGGTTTTTGTTGGACAAGGGAAACTCTTATTTTGAAAGCAGAGCTGAGAATCAGTAAAGAGTAATCGAGCGATCCCCAAGCTCTGAGAAAACGCCTGCATTACTGGCTGTCAAATTTTGTTTACAAAAACAATTACACGTGACTGCTTAACTTAAATCAATAAATTGTACATTATTTTAAAACACTAATAAATTCAGCGCTCCAAGCTGCGACCATTTTGGTCGCCATGGCGAGTAAAGAATAAGAATTGGCGACTAAACTTGTAGCGAAAGTCGCCTATTTGGCCATGTACCAAGTCCCTGGGGTAGGGCATTTGACTTATCTTGTTCTCCCGGGAGGGGATATTTGAATCTTTCTTCGCCCGACGTGGAGATATTTGACTGCCAACTCGGACGAAAAAAGACTGAGACCGAACATATGTTTCCCGCTTCCACGCTTCACGCATGCGCCATACGGTTTGAAAAGATCAGGAAGTCATGGAGGCCCATGAGAGCAAGCGAAGGCTGAGTGGATTTCACTGTTTTGTCTTCAAGTTTCGTTTGTTTTAGCGTGTTTTGGATCAATTGAACCTCTTAATATACTGTGGTATCAAAGTAAGCGGAAGTAAAGAGAAACCGAGTCGATTTTTGCAAGTAAAATTGATTAGTGTATGGCTCATTCGCTACAATCACTGTAAACTTATAAAACTGACTTTCTTTGTACCCTTAACTAAGAACGGTATATTTAGACTTACAAAACGTGGACTTTCTCCTAAAGGTTTATGTATTCTACGCAGTGTAACACGGATTATGGTTAAAACGTATAATTGCAGCTGTAACAGAACATGCATCTTTGGTTATGCAGCAACGTTTATAAAAGATTGCAGAGTTTTATTTGGAGATATTTTTATTGTGCCTTTCTTAGGTTCTGCCTTGGGATTGACAGCAATGTGCAGCCTGGGGTGGGGAAATTTGGTTGCATTTGACTGGAATGATTTGCCCGTGGGCAGGGAATTTGATTGAAAATTTTTGAAAAAAGTCAAATCCCCACCCTATGCCCTGCCTCCCCCCTCGCCGGCATTACATTGGTAGGTGCATTATTTGCCCTTCGTATTCGAGACAGTTTTTGCTATTTTCACCCTGGTTGTCCAGGTGTGAAGACTTGAGATGCCACGGGCCGTTTCAGTAGGGTTAACCGTCAGCCGCGAAACGGCAAAAAATTTAACCGTCAACCGTCATAAGGGTATTTTTTACCGTCAACCGTCAATAATGCAGATTGATATTAACTGTCACAAAGTTTTAAGATATTTCAAATCACGCTATTTTCAGCAAGATCTTCATGGACTTCTAGTCCTGAAGAATCTCAAACTGGAAACACCAGTTCCCATATTCTTCAAAACGCACTCTATAGACATTTAAGAAGTTGCTTTTATCTGAAAATATTTCGAAATTCTATTAGGTTTGATTAACAAGAGCGTCGCACAAATTAGAGCCAGAATTTTGAATGACTTGTTAGCAAGGATCCTTTGAAAGCCATAGCGTCTACATTCCAGGGACCTACAGCGCCTCTCGTTCTTAGTGCTGCTTCTTTAATCAAATCACTAGCGATCTCATTATAATTTGACTCGTGCACATCCTCAACTGCACCAAACAGCAGCGTTCCCAGCGAGCCTCTCTTTCTACCATTCCCGTTTCGCGGTAGGTTTTCTGGTGGGTCCATTCTAATGGCCCGTCTCTTACAATCCAAAACATCTCTGTTCATTTGCTCAGTCCATTTTAGCTAGACATCGTGAGAGCCTTTCCCGCAACAATGCTTCTGGACCTCTGTTAACCCCCGTTATCACGTAATGATAATAACAACAACAGCAATAATAACAATAATAATAACAATAACAATAACAATAACAATAACAAAAACAATAACAATAACAATAACAATAACAATAACAATAACAATAACAATAACAATAACAATAACAATAACAATAACAATAACAATAACAATAACAATAACAATAATAATAATAATAATAATGAGTTGAGTGCAGTGACAAATGGTATGAGCATTCCCCCAAAAGCGTAGAAGAGAATGAGGAGGTTAAACTGTTATGGGACTTTACCATCCAAACAGACCGTGAAATCCATCACAGGAGGCCAGACATTGTAATTCAGAAAAAGAAGGCAAAGGAAACAATCATTGTGGACATAGCTGTTCCCGGAGATAGTAATATACTGCAGAAAGAAACTGAAAAGTGTGAAAAGTACCAAGACCTGGCAAGAGAGATTCAAAGGATCTGGAAATCAAGGACAAAAGTGGTGCCAGTGGTTGTAGGTGCATTGGGTTCAGTGTCAAAGAAGCTGGCAGGCCACTTGGAGCAACTAGGAATTAAAAACCGAACAAGAACGATGCAAAAGTCGGCACTCCTCGGATCGGCACATTTCCTCAGAAAGGTGCTGGAAGTCTGAGGTCTCGGGATGAGACTTGACTGGATATTTCTCCCCAGGGAAAATCACTGTGCTAAATTTTACATAATAATAACAATAATAATAATAAAATCCATAAGGAAGATACTAGTTAGACAAGAAAGAGGAGTCAATCATTCATTTACTGTTTATAGATGACTTGAAGCTGTACGGGAAGGATGAACGTGAGCTTCACTCACTGGTCAATACACGCGGTGTTCATTACCGGATATAGGCATGACGTTTGGTATGAAAAGGCGTGGCGTTAAAGAGGGAAAATGTTAAGAAAATTGTGGGGATTACCTCGCCTGATAATCGCAAAATGAAATCAGCGGAAGAAGACGGCTATAAGAACCTGGGAATTCTGGAATATGACGATCTATTTCAAGGGCACAAGAAAAACGTTATGAAGAAAGAATATTTCCGGAGACTAAATACAGTCCAATGTCAGTGGGAAAATACTGTACTTGCAACAAATTCATAGGCTCTGTCACTTGTCTGGCATGGAACTGAAGAAGTAAACTAAAGTAAAGCTGAACTAGAAGCCATGGATAGAAATAGAAAAAAAAAAAAGATAACCATAAACAGTTAACTGTTTATGTTATGTTTTATCCACGAGCTGATGTTGCCCGATCCTACTTTCGACGACTTTCCGGGGGCTGTATATTGAATGGCCTGGAAGAGTGTGTTCTCGATGAAGAGATGAAGTTGGCCTATTGCGTTCAAAACATCTCGGAACCACTGCAAAAAACAGTAGAACTTGAAGAGATAAGAAAGAAAATGAGGAACCCCCCACAAACAGACGATGAGAAGGAGGAAACTTTTGAGAAGATTAAGAAGTGGAAGACAATTTCCTTCATGGCCAGATATTGCGTCAAACAGAACAAGTCAAGGCTAAGAGGTCATGGGATTGGTTGAAGAAGGGGGATTGGAAGAAAGAGACCGAAGGGCTTATAACTGCCACACAAGATCAGGCACTGAGGACGAATGTAATCAAGACATCCATTGAAAAACAGGATGTGTCTCCCCTCTGCAGATTGTGTGGAGATGAAGATGCGACACGAAATCATCTCATTTGCGAGTGCAGTAAGATGGATTACCCTCAAAGGCATAATAATGTTGCGAAAATTATTCACCAGGACATTTCAAAGAAACATATACAGTAAACACTCGCGTAAAAAAAACCCTGATGGATTAAGAACCTTCTTGCCGACATTTGCCCCTTTAAAACCCCAAAACACAAGAACCTGTTTAGCTAAGCAAGATCAAGACGGTTCTAATATGTGGTACAGTTAAATTATGATAAGCAATTAAAAGTGAAAGTATAACAAGAAGATACTGTACCAAACTGTATATAAATTCGGTAATCAGTTTTGTTACGGTCATAAAAATAAAATTGTGACTAAAAACCTCAGTCGTAAGGACCAAACTCGTGTTAATATATTTTTCTGGTAATCAACAATCTATTTTTTCCCTTCATAGAAATTAAGGACCAAATTAGGAACCTACTTAGCATAAATTATTCCCTATTCTGTATGAGGAAGTTATGTGGGTTCATCTGACGAATGTATTACAACAATTTCAGACTTTCAAGATTAGATCTCACCTCCGTCAGTTGTCATGTCGCAGTAAACGTTCAACGGGTTTCCACTGTTCTCAGGGTCGATCCAGTACCTCCCGTCTCCTTTAGAGTCACCAGAGTCCCGGATGCTCTTACAGGAATAAGCAGGCAGCTTGAATTCCAGCCTCGCGGCTTTGCTGTAGCCGGCTTTGCTGTAGCAGATAATAAAAAAAATGACTATATATGGTAAATATTTGCTCCTCCGCGAGGCAATAGTAAAATCAAATTCAAAAATAGACGAGCGTTACTCACGAATTTCACATCTTTTCCCTTTGTAGTCCGGATGACAATGACCAGTTTGTTTTTTCTTGTTGGTGGGCAGATGTTGGTAGGAAACCTGAGAAGAAAATAACGAATTGAAATGAGAAACATCAAACAATAGATAACAGCTATAGATGACGTCATTATGTGCTTTAGTTATTACCACTTTTGTTTGCTTTAGAAGTAATATAAATAATTATTATTCATTCAAAATATTTCTCCGTTTCTGACTCAGTGGCTAACGGTCGAGGCGGATAACACCCTCCTCGATCTATATAATTTTTATATGATACTCATGATGATTGTTAAATATATTGATATACCTTCTTTTTATACCCTGCCATACGCGATATTTTCCGTGTGGGTAAAAACATATACGTTACTAAGACACAGGCAAACCGGTGCCAAAAACATTATTTAAAAGAAAATGTCGCCAAAAGTACTATTTACGATATTAGAGTTCTGCAAAGATAACCACTTAAATTCGAATAATATCAAGTAATTCGTAAGAAGCTGATCTCAAAACTCCATAGAATTTGAGCCGAAAAATCTAAGAAATTAAATACTTGTCTCTTAATATTCCGAGAAAACCGAACAGGGTGTGAACGTCGTAAACAAATGTTTTAATAGGGACCTTAAGATGCGAGGACGGCGACAGCAGGTAAAACGTCGCTTAAAAATGTTTTCGCGGTTTTCCATCGTCATCGCGATTGTTCCATCACGCTTACTTTGTCGAATGTACACGAACTCTCCTGGAGTTGAATTCCTAAGAACCTTACCCAAGGTAAGAAAGAGAGAGAAAATCTCGTCGTTGCTTGAATGTTTTAATGACATCCTCTATAAAACATGAAATTAGGCATTTTAACGTCATTGTCGTGCAAAACGTAAAGAAATGTACAAAAAAGTGTTATGCACGAGGAAAGTTGTTTTTTTCTTGTTGTTTTTCTTATTTTAATAACTTGCTTGTTTTAAAAACCTATTGCTTTTATGACGTTCTCGTTGCCGTCGCCGTCGTCTGATCTTAAGGTCCCTAATTAGTTGTTTAGAGTTTAGAGTTTTTTTAAATAACAGTTTTATAAAAAAGCGATAGTTTATGTTCAAACAGTGGATCTGACCTTAACTTGTCCATAATAAGAAGATCCTTTCTTCCTAATGAAATCGTCCGGCTTCATCTTCCGTGTTTTGTTGTTCAGCTCACAAAGTCGTTTTGCAATATCTGCACCAGGATCAACATTAAACGACTTGCAGCTGTTATTTCTGAGACATTTTTGGTGACATTCAAACTCGTCAGCAACAGTTGATGTACTCATGACATGACCAACTAAAACATGGTCTGAAACATGAAGTAATATAAAACAGGGGAATAAGCAAAATACAATGGAGTTTAACATGAAGCTAGGACATACATTAATTCATTTTTTAGCTGAACAGTTTTATAATCTTTTACGATAAAGAGATATACTCGCTTGCAAAATTGCGATTTGATACAAGCGCGAATCGTCAGAAGTTAAAAAAGTGATAAAAGTTGTAAGCAATTTTAACATCAGATAAAGTCGATAAGAGGAAACTAATGCTTTTAAAATGCCCGAGTTTGTCATCTCAGATTTATCACAATGACCATTTAAAACATGTAATAAAAGAGTCTACTGAAAACTAAACTTTGAAAAAAAAAAAACAAAAAAAAATAAAAACGGTAGTTTGTTTGCATCTTAGAAAACGTTTTAGAAAACCGTTTTATAAAGCCGCAGGAGTTAATTTACCTGTTTGAGTTTCAAAAACGCTGGCACAGAAGTCCGAGTTGGATATCACCAGTACCACTGCCATCAGAACATTAACAGTCAGAAAAACCAAACGAATGAGCCGTGAAGCTGCCATCGAAGGAAAATTTTTGGATGATTGTGATCTTCACTGTGCTACCTGTACGTGCCGACTATTAAGTGTCAGCCTTATAGAGAGGTTGTTCCGTTTTTAATTTAGTTTGTTTAGTTGTAAAACTCTTTTGCGATGACAGCTCCCATGCAAAGCAATTTATAATTCATAAGTGTTTTTGTAAGTACTAAATAAAACTGCTTAAAAAAGATTTTACTTATAAGAGTCGAGCTAAACTTCAATTTCAAGTAAGCCTGTAAAACAAGTGTACTTTTTTGTTCAAGGAAACGTCTATTTTAAAAGACGCACCGCAAGATGAAAAGCAATAATATATGCGAATTCTAGTAATAATACTGACGTCCCCCGAGAACGCCAACATTACCGGCCTTAAGAGTCCGGGGCCGGGCTCCTTACATGTGACTGCTAAACTGAATATAATTCAGTTTTCTGAAATACTAATGATTTACGGTCAGACTCAATCGAACCTGAGGGAAATAAATGAGCTATTGCTTGGGCATATTTATTGTGCATTCATACGGGTAAAATTAAAGAGAGTGGTGATTAAACCAGTTTTTGGCCTGGATCCATCTGCTAAGTGCAGTATTGATGTAGTATTTAATTATTAAGATGTCTCGTTTTATCTTTTTAGTTTAGGGACTATTAATTAATCGACGGCCACTTATACCTTGCCAAATTGCACTGCCTCAGGAGGTGGCATATCCGAAAATTTTTCAGCTTTAAAAACCAAAAATAAACAAAAAAGATGGATAAATTTCAG